GATAAACTCTATGAACACCACATCGGAAATCTTTTTGTAATATGATTTCAGCAGTGTATAGACATAACAGCAAACTGCAGTATAAACATTAGCAAAAAAAAAGCATGTCATTAGGTTAGCATTGTTCTTGTAAAAAAAATGTTCCTGTTCTGTCCAAGAGATATTTAATGGATAAAGTTAAGATGATCTGAGTTACCAGATGCTTGGCATTTCTTCCAAAATGATAAGCAAATTCTACAGCACTAAGTTCTCTTACATAATTTCACTGATCACATTAATAAGATACAAAACAAATAAAACTTTTTTTTATGAAGGACCAGTTTGGAGCCATGTTCCCATTGTAAGTAAGTACATCATGGTTACACAATGATTTATCTATTTGACAAGATTTTAAAGAGTATTAAGAAAAGAACCAGAAAAAACTATTTTTTAAATAAAGATTTTTTCACCTTTGCAATGTTTTGGATATTGCACTTCTTATATTGGATTTTTGGACTACTTTCTTGCATCCATAATATAGTCTTCTGGTGCTTTGGATTCCAAGTGTGCATATACTTTCAGAAAAGAGCCGGATAAAAATCTGATGGGAATAGGATTGGGGTGTTTATAAGGATATGTGCAGTTTGGAGAATCAAATGCTATGTGGAACATTATGTTTCCTGAGCTGAAACTGAGCAATGTTGTGCTCAGGAATGCATACAGTCAAGGTTGAATAATGTATGGCTTGTTAGATCTTCTCTTAAGATTTGAACGAATTACCTTTGAGGGTCAGGGAAAAACTAGATTTCATTAAGTTCAGATTGCATGTGGTCTTTGGAGAAATGGGTTTGATGATCAGCCTTTTTGTGTACTGTGTTTGTGTTCTGAGGATCTGCCAAAGGAAAAGGACCTACGTTATTATTTGATCTTACCAGAAATAGTTTTGGTTCAATCTAGCATAGCTCAGTGTTAATGTCCATCATGCTCTCCAACCTATAACAGTATAAAACTGATGAGTACAATATAACTGCAGCATCAAAATAAATGTAATCATGCACCAGATCAATATTATGCAGAAAACAAATGAATATAATACACATGTTCTTTTCAAAGTATCAAAGACTGATCTATTTTGAGATGTGCAGGAATACATTACAGAATGTTTACAAAAAGTATCATTGTTGATTAACTTATCCAGTTGTAACAAATCCAAGTTTACTGTTTAGAAATATCACCTGGTATGTTATATGGAGGCACTCACAACTGCTAAACATTGTAAACCTGTAATCACTAATAATTAATAAGACAAGGTCTGTACTGTTATGTTTAGAGTAGTTTCTAAGAAACTAAACATTTCTAAAAATAAAAAGTCAGATGAAAAATTAGCCCGAACAGCTATTTTGTTCTCTGCTAAGTGAAATAAAAATCTATTACTCCCGAAATAGCAATTTAAAAATAAAACACACACTTTGTACTGTCTGCCACCAAAACTGACGTGCTTTTACAGCTTTTTCGATAAAGTGACAACTGTACTCACATTCCTCAGGCAATGGAATGTAGTTTGGGAAAGGACCACAGGGTCAAATGTGTAGGTGTTAAGTAGCCAAGTGGGCGCAAACTACATTGAATAAAACGAGTGTCTCTCTCTCTCTCTGTGACATTTTGAAGATTGCGAGATTGCATACTCTACTCAGAGAAGCACTTTTGTGCCTCTTTTCTTTTTTCATCCATATTCAGGGATGAGCTGGAGGGCGGGGAGGGGGGTGGGTGGGTGGGGGGGAGGCCTGTGCATTCACAAAGCAGCCTGCTGGGCTGGTGCCTGACACTAGCTGACAGCACAGGACTGCTGGGGAGATGGAGAGAAATGAGTAGGAGGCCATTTCCAACATTTAGGACAATGGCCAAGTAAAAGAATAATAAAGAGATGAATGGAAATGAGTCTTCATTTGTGTACCAGTAAATAACACGCTGTCTTCAAAACCGCTGCAATATAAAGAGGAACGTTTTCACTCTTTATTTGATGGTCTTCAATCATCCGCCTAACACACAAATGGATCACATTTAAATTCAGGAACATTCAAATGGCCAAAGCAAGAGATATCCAACTAACACTGCTTTGGTAAATCAAAGTACAGATTGTTGACTAGTTTGACCAAAATAGTAAATTTGAACAGTAACTTTCATGGTAAGATTTCCTTTATTAGTAGCTGGATATTATACACCTTAATTGCCCATTGCGTTTTTCCAAAGTAATGATACGACTAATACATCTTTTTCTCACTTTTTTTTTCTGCTTTGGTAAATCAAAGTACAAATTGTTGATTAGTCTAATCAGATCGGCTTATGAACCAACCCTTTATATAAAGGTATCTCTTCTCCAAAGAAGAGAGGCAGGAATCAGTGAAACATAGGAAGGATCACTTGTATCAAAACAAGTTCTTTCACCACAGTGGCTGATAGGAACGTGTTGTATACCGCTTGAAGAGCTTTGAACAATCTTTGTGAAACTGTTTTACTCATTGTACCACATGGAAAAAGAAAAAAAAAAGGCTCAAGCTACCAACATCAGTTGACTTCAAGTGTACTGAATGGGAGTCGAACCTCTAAGTTGACAGTTAGATACTGATCCCCCAAAAAACTTGTCAGTGAAGATAATAATAATAATAATAGTAATAAAAAATAATAAAAAAAAGGGGGGGGGGGGGGCTCAGCAGTGTGCCTGACACATGCACAACCCCATCACCATCCTTAAAGAGCATCCAAACCAAACGGGAGAATCCCAACGCATCCCAACCTCCACACGTGTAGCCCACGATAGTAAATGTTAAAGAAAAGGTAAATGTTGCGGTTAATAAGATTTATAGCACTCAAAGGACTGTAATTTTTTTTTTAACCCACACAAACACACACACACACACACACACAGACACAGACAACAAAATCGATGCCTTGGTTAACACACTAACGGTGATCATCCGCAAACCCTTTCCTCGTGTGTTGTATCCCATCCCTGGTTCATCAGATCGCATAGTATTGAAGGAGTCTGTCTTAAGCCATGAGGACTTCTGTTATGTGTTGAACATGTTTTTACCTGAACGGTTCCGCACAGTGGCGCTGGTGGGTCAGGCAGTGAGTCACTAAACCTCAATAGTATTTTTTTTTGGGGGGTGGGGGGGTGGGAGAAAGCTGATCCCTGTGTCCCTAACCCCCCTCCCCACCCCACCCCTCCCCACCCCACCCCCAGCTAATCATCTTCATACCAACCGTCACATAGACTGAAAACCTGCAAGAAAACACTTGAGAAGATAGACCTGGTAAAGATGAAATCAAAGCACACAACACTAACACACACACTAACACACACTAACACACAGCAGCAAATCATTCACTGTAATAAATCTCCATCGGAGACCAAGTGAACAAAAGTTATGCAAAATCACCGGTGCCCCAGTTCGAATGTGGGTGGGGGTGGGTGGGGGGGTGGGGGGGGGGGTGGGGGGTGGGGGGGGAGGTGGTAAATATTCCAAGCCCAAGTCCCCAATAAAATGCACCTAAAATATAGTCTCACAGCATCACGATCGATTCGGGGGAATCTGTGGAACGAATGCTGTCGGTTGTAGAACTGAAACCACACTCCCTCTCCCCTCCTCTCTCTGACCTATTGATGCTATTGTCGGGTATGGACCGACTTATCGTGGGGTTCACATTCGTGTCAGTGTCCATTCCAACGACGCAGACTTTGCTGAAATATTTATAAGCACCAACGGTGTGGGGGTGTGGGGGGGAGGGGACCAAGAGGATAAAAGCATCTGCTGACAGTTCTGGGTGAAGACATCCCTGGTTTGCTGACAGGACAGGTAACTGAGTAATCTTTGCAACCCAGTCGAGTGTGCAATATGGTACCCGCTTGGAAGGGCGCAGTGTTACCATGGACTGGTCGTTATTCGGACTGTTAAAGGTTACGACTGCTTGATTTCCTCTCCCCCTCGTGTAAAAAGCACTTTTGAGAGCAAGTTCCCAACTGCGTTTAACTTTGATCCCTCGACTTTTGTGCGGAGCAAATAAAAATCAGCGGTCAAAGCCGATGGGTAAACACTTTAAATAGCTGTGGGTGTGGGGGGACACACACACACACAATTGGAGAGTTTTATTTAATTGCACTTTGCAACGATGTCTTTCCAACCCCAGACTTGGCATTTACACTACGACCAAAAACCTTAACGTAACGGATGGGGCAAAAGATCCTTTTGCAAAACACTTGGTGCAAACTCTTGGCTTGCAAATGACCCAGTGGCTTTTAACACACATAAACCGAGGGCATGAACTGCACAAGTCCTGTCGGAGCCTTTGCAGAGATTTATTCAAACAATCTACAGCAAAATAAAAACAGAGAAATATTCCTTTCTCCCGGGTTATGTTGTAAACTTGGGTTTACTGGCTGTTGGGGCGGTTGCTGGATTGCCAATTCTGCAACAAAGCTCCAAACTGCACTTCATTTTTTTTTGGGGGGGGGGGGGGGAGGGGGGGGAGAGTTAAAAAAACATAAATCGGCATAAAGGACATTTTTCGTGCAAATTAAATGGTGCAAAATAAAAAAAAGCGTACACATCAATAGGTTGCAATTGTTTGCTGGGTTTCTGGGTTGACGATGGGATTTTTTGGGGGGGGGTGTGGGGGAGAATGAGAGAGAGAGAGAGAGAGAGAGAGAGGGATGGGGGGAGAGAGAGAGAGAGAGAGAGAGAGGGAAGGGAGAGAGAGAGGGCTGATTATTTTAATGGCCACATCACAGCTCAGTTGGATAATGAGAGAGGTTGGGTGGGGGGAGAGATTGAGATGCCAGACTGAGAAGCCTGTGAGGAAATCTGTTCCAGTCCACTCCAGTGCTGCTAATGCTAATGTTGCTGCTATTTTGACTGGAGCCTTTGACTGACGCCTGACGTGGAGCAGCAGAGCCAACCCCCTCTGCAATGTCTACCAGCAGCCACTTGCAAACTCCAGTCAGTCACTATTCCACCGGGAAAGGGCGATCCACGGTCCAAGTGAAGCTCCCTCTTCCATTTGCAAAGGAGTTTGAAACACACGCACACACAACAACACCACCACAACCACACCATGGCCTGGACTGTACAGTTGACTATCTGTGCTCTAGCTGTTGGCATTGGGATTTCTTCAGCCTTTTATAACTCCAAGGTCTTTGCTCCAAACCAAGGTAAGTTTCTGCACTCCACCAGCGCTGACTGCAATGTCTCCGCATTTGCATTGACTGATGATAAAGAAGGGGACTTGATTTGAGTGAAACTTAACGGGAAAGGGAGGGAGGGAGAGAGAGGGAAAGGGGGAGAAGAAATCACACAGGACACACAGAGAGAGAGAGAGAGAGAGAGAGATAGATGTGTGTGTGTGTGAGTGCACCAAATCCCAAACCATATAGTGCAATTGGATGAACCTGATTCTTCCAGGAGTGAGAGATTGAACGAGTGATATTGGGAGTGAGAGACTGGGATGAATGTCACTCCTGGTGATCGCTAAGATCTCTATCCCACTGCGACTTGATCGTATCTCTGGCTCCCAGACTCCCTGGATGGGTCTTGGTTTATTTTTTAATGATGATTATTATTTTTATGAGCGATGTGCGTCTTTTCCCCCAATGCACTGAACTGAAATGAAGCGTCAAAGCCCCCCCCCACACACACACACACACACACAAAAAAAAGAGAGAAAGTGCGCACTTTCACTAATCCTTCTCGATCGGGAGATCGTTTTAAAAGAGGTACCAAAATACACAGCACAACCAGAGAGAGAGAGAGAGAGAGAGAGAGACGCGGATTATCCTAAAATAACCTGTTCCCATATAACGTGTGACAACCTACAATTACATCCCTGGTCCCAACGCTGAGTCCTATCCCTTTCCTGAGATCTTATTTAACTCTCACACATTTGATCGTTCATTGAGCAAAAAAAAAATCTGCGGTGAAGATGTGTTTTTTTTACCCAAACCCAGACCAGACCCTGAGTTGGTTCTCAAACAAATAATGGATCTTATGGGTGGAATCGAGAGGATTTGTGACAGTTTTTAACACCCCCCCCCCACTGCGTTTTGTGCCTGAGACCTTGCAACTCGAGGGAGAAGTTTGTAAGGTTTTAATTCTTGGAAAGTTAGTAGTTGGCTTTTTTTTTTCCCTCTCCCCATTCCCACCCCCACGTACAAAAAAATGGAATTTTCTCTCTTTTTTCAACCCCCCCCCCCCCTCCCCCACGAAGATGATTTGCAAGAGCGACTCGCAAGTTGCAGATAAAAGCGATGTTGCATTAAGGAAATCAGTGTATGGTTTAATTGTGTGGGAGAGAGAGAGAGAGAGAGAGAGAATAAAATACAAAAGGAGTCTGCCTTGCCTGATGGGGACACAAGTTTTTTTTTCTTGCACCAGTGGCGTTTAGCATTCAAGACACGATCCCCCCCCCCCCCCCCCCATTCTTTTTTTTCTCTTTCTCTCTCTCTCTCTCACTCTCTCCTTTCTGTGCCCACGATTGAGCTTTCATTGTCCTCCTACAGTGTAAATCCACATTAAATTAATCCAATTGGATATGGCGTGCGATTCTCTTATAAGGCGATGATACAGTGGAAAAGAGGGGGTGGGGGGGGGGAAATGCCTGTTTTCCCCCAACTTTTCTCTCTTTCGAAAGCCTGAACTCTGTGGACGCTTTCCAACAAAATGCTACGATTTAGATGTATGTATTAGTTGGTTGCGGGTTCTCTCGCACGGTTTGATGTGATGCGTTGGGCACAGTGTAACTACGCATGAAACTCTCACTGAGATGGAATCCATTCCTTGTCGGATCTCTCCCCTACCCCCCATCACCCCAGTAACCCCCCCCCCAATCACCCCAGTAACCCCCCCATCACCCCAGTAACCCCCCCCCAATCACCCCAGTAAACCCCCCCCATTACCCCAGTAACCCCCCCCCCATCACCCCAGTAACCCCCCCCCAATCACCCCAGTAACCCCCCCAATCACCCCAGTAAACCCCCCAATCACCCCAGTAACCCCCCATCACCCCAGTAACCCCCCCAAATCACCCCAGTAACCCCCCCCCATCACCCCAGTAACCCCCCCAATCACCACAGTAAGCCCCCCATCACCCCAGTAAACCTCCCCCATCACCCCAGTAACTCCCCCCCCATTCACCCCAGTAACCCCCCCCCCCCCCCCCCCCCCCACACACTGATGTGCTTTAAACAGATACATGTATTCACAGGTACACCACTGAGTTCGGGCGAACGTCAGGAGAGCAAAATGTTCCTCCAAACAGCTCCCCGGACCCTCCCCGACCCCCAAACCAACTCCCCATCAGTCCCGGGGACAAGTGTGCGCTGGTCCTCACCTGGAGAACACTTGGTGTGAGGTGGAGATAGCGCTGAAACCCTCAACCTCCTGTCCCCACAGCTCTCGCCACCCCAATGAACCCCCCTCTTGCCCAACTCACCGGCCCCGCTTTCTGTTTCCATTCATATTATATTAAACAAAAAACCCCCAACGAGCGCAAAACCACACCAATCACTTTACGAACGTAAAGCAACACACGGGTCTGGATACTTCCCAGTGCAGACTGTAAATGGGAAGAGCAGGGAGCGAGGGCAATGCCCACCGGATTCCCAACTCAATTGCATCTCAAGCACTCGGTGCAAACGCTGCTACATCGACAGCGGAGTTCCTCGCCATCAGTGCCTCGGATTTGGGGGGAAAAAAAATAAAATAAAATAAAATAACGTTGCGCTTAAAGACATCGGATAATTGGATCGAGTTGGAAACAGTGCGTTGGGTTACAGCAAAAGTGAAGCTGTTTTTTTTCTCTCTCTCTCTCTCTCTTTCTCTCTCTTTCTTTTCTCTCCTTGCAAACACATTGACTTTCTGTGATCTAAACCTATATCAGACGAGGCTTGAGAGTAGGATTTTTTTTGTTGTTGGGTGGTGGGGAGGTGGGGGGCTGAAACCAGGCATAACTATGCAACAACTTGCTCGAGCTTGTGTAGCTGGTCAGACACCGTTCATATCAATCCTGGTTTCTCTGACCCTTTTTCCCCCCCTAATTGGTTATTTTTGTCCCAACAGTGACACTTTTGGATTCCAGGTCTGTTCAAGGCGAACTTGGCTGGGAAGCTTTCCCTCCAGAAGGAGGAGTGAGTATATTAAATATTGAAATGGGGAGTTGGTGGGGTTTGTGGGGGGGGGGGGGGGAGAGACTGTGGGGGCTGTTGGTAAAGAGCAAAGGCTGGATTCTGTAAGACTGGATGCAGATTGAGAGCTAATGGGCATTTTCAGTGAGATTGCAGAGGGGGAGGAAGGCAGGTCAGGTTTCTGCTCTACTTGATGAACTGAATTGCTCTTTGTGAGAGAAACTGTATACTCCCAATGGAAAGAAAGCGCTTGCTTTGCAAGGAGAATTGGAAACCCAAAGGGTAGGGGTAAAATAGAGAGAGAGGGGAAGATACTTAGGTAGAAAATGGATAAGGCTTGATTTATAAAGTGGTTTGTGACTCGGAAACTTACAAGAGAGACCTGACCAGAAGAACCCTTGTGTGTAAAAAAAAATTAAGGCCATCTAACACCAGGCAATCAGTTTTGTCATTAAAACTATCAAATGCCCAGGGAAATCATCATTTCATACTCTGAAAGCGTCAAGTCATTTTCACAGCTTATCAGAGGATTATAACAAGGATTACTGTTAGCCAAGGTGTCTGGGTTTAGCCAGGCGTTAGGTGTTGTGGGCAGGTTGATTGAGATTTCTCTGGTCTGGAGAGAGAAAGAGAGAGTGTGGTCCCTTAGGATGAGGCTGGTTAGGGGGAAGGGAAAGAGAGGGTCTGAGCAGTAAGATCTGACTGAGATAAAGGTCAGGAAAGTGGTTGCTTTCTGGAGGATTAACGGGAAAGCTGAACTGCTTTTAAGAGATGGAATGGGAGCAGGGTGGGGGTGGCCACGAGTGTGCACAAGGTCTCCCATTTCCAGATAAGTGAAAAATGTCAAAACACAGGGAAGTGCGTGGCTGAGATTTCCTGCCCACTGACGAGCCGTGTTCCCAGGGTCGCTGAAGAAAACCACTCCATACACTCACTCACTGCAACACAATGCAGCCTTTCCACTCACTGACTGCTGAGATCGAATAGCTGATCCCAGCTCCTCCACATCCAAAGCACTCTTCATCTGATTAACTCTCCTTCCACCTTAAAATGCATCGTCGCCTTAAGTTTAAAGCAGTTGGCTGGTATTTTATCTGATAAGATTCTGACGTCCAGTTCATTTTAACAGTTTTTTTTTGTGTGTGTGTGTGTATATGGGTTGTTAATAAAAGTAATGCAAAAACAATTTCAGATTCGTCCACAAAAAAAATTGCATTAGGTGACTCAATAATCCAACTACTTTTGTTGGGCAGTTTTAACAAAATATGATTAAGAAAGTGAGATGCTTAATGCACCTGAGCTGAACTTGACTGCACGTCTGTGTGTGTGTGTGTGTGTGAAAGTGAGTTTGCTTGCAGAATTGCGTCTGCCTGGCTCCTTTCTCCCCCCCCCCCCCACCCCCCCCTACACAGGGTGTGATTGACAGGCTGGTGGCAGAGTGGACAGACAGCACACACATTGCTCTGATTGCCCACAATTGTCCCCCATCCTCTTAACAATCGGGAAAGGTGCAGCTTCATCTCAGTGGCAGCCAGGCTCCACTTCAATCTTGACACCCAGAGAAGGTCATTCCCTGACTGATTGCAGAGACAGGCTTTCTGTTCCATCTGCAGGCAGGCAAAGCCGCAGGGGACTGAAGCACAGTCTCCAAATTATTGAGGTCTTCAGTGAACAAATAGCAAGAGGAAGGTTAAAGGTTTGATGAGCGACCGATTGCAATTTACCTGTAACGTGGGCGATTTCAAGTGTCCAGGAGATGTATTTTATTTTCGAAATTGAGTTTGGCATTGGCACGAATTCAGAGGTGCTCGAGTACTATTTTTAAACAGTCTTGAAAAATTCAAGAGACTCTCTCTCACGCTAGCATTTCTTTATCTATTTTCTGACACATCTCTTGGACAATCTCTAATTTAAAAGCCCGTTAAACAGGGAACTGCCTCTTATCCCTTGTGTACAGATAACATCTATTAAGACCCCCCTGTTTACAGCTCAAGCATTTAAAGTCACAGCATTGGTCCATCTACAAAATGCACATTACCAGTCTATACACCTTACAATACAATCCTGTGAGGCGTTTGTAGACACCCTCCCTATATCAAATCAAGGATTATTTATTATAATATAGTGCCTTATCGTGTCTTCGAGGCGTCTCAAAGTGCTTCACAGAATATACTGTAAAGTGAATTGACTGTATATTTGTTGGTGAAATGTGGCAGCGAATTGCGCACAGCAGCGTCCCACAAACAGTCATGGTTCCAGTGATCAAATTGTTACTTTTTTAAAAAATTACGTTTTATACAATACCTTGAAACAGTCTTTACAGTAAGCTAAAACTTGTTTGCACTATGAATTGCACACAGGAAAATTTTGTTTTTGGTACGTGAAATTATATTGGTAGTGCAGTAATTACATTTAGAGTTAATTTAATTGGAAGGAGAGGGACACTGCATTAACTTGCATTCCTGAGATTCAACTGCTGCAGGTGATGGATGAGGGACAAAGGCACTATCCTGACATGTGGCTTCATTTAAGACAGCTTCTAATTAGGGTTTATCTTTTGTCACTAACAAGGTTTAACACATTCTACTGATAAATTAAATAGAGGGACACGATCTCCCAGGAGTTCAGTTTGAAACCATGGGTATCGACATTTTTAATTCCCAAGCAAGTCGAGGTAATCACTAAGGTATTATGGCCCTGACATAAGGATTTATGTGTAGCTACTGTTGTACTGGTCTCTATTTACACTAATCAAACGCATCCATCCTGCATTGCTGAACGGTAAATGAAAAGGTTTTGCTCAGCCCCTACAGTTGCAAACAGTAAAATTATGCCCTTCTCCTTGCACCACACAAAGAGCTTTGATGTTTTTCCCATCAAATATGTATGTGGAAGGACTTTGTAGGAATGTCTGCATCATATTTAGTAATTGGGCTACAACCGTATTTTTTAAAAAAAAGACCAGGGCATTTGGTATTTTGCTCAAAGGATAAATCATTCATAAATTTGTATCTGTTTAAAATGTTCCAAATCTTGCTGTCTTAGTTAGGAGAGAGCAAATTACCATTTAGTAAGCATTGCAAACTGGTATGTGCTGGGGAAATTGTAGAAGTGAATGTGTTTGTTGACTTTAAACCACCATTTGCCATTGCAAAGAGATAGAGCAGAATGAGACAGATTTGGGATTCTGCATAAAATGTCAACCTGGCTCAGTTGGCAGCACTCTCCTTTTTGAGTCAGAAGGTTATGGGTTCAAGAATCACATTGGGACATTGAGCTCATAGCGACTGACACTTCAGTGCAGTGATGGGGGAGTTCTGCAGCGTCAGAGGTGCTGTCCTTCGGATGAGTTGTTAAACCGAATTCCTCTCTTGCCTGTTCAGATGGATATTAAAATCCCATGGCATGATTCAAAAAGAGAAGGGGGTTTCTCCCAGTAAACTGACCAATAATCCCCAGATAAAAATGAATGTTTATTCACTTCCAGAGAAATTCTTTGAATAGCATACGGTTTTGTATTTGTTTTTACAAATGATCTGAAACTGTTGCTTTGTATACACGTGGAAATTAAACGTGAACACCTTTTATTTCAAACAGTGGGAGGAAGTTAGCATCATGGATGAGAAGAACACTCCAATCCGTACCTACCAAGTCTGTAATGTGATGGAAGCCAATCAGAACAACTGGCTACGGACTGATTGGATACCCCGTGAGGGAGCCCAGCGAGTTTACATTGAGATCAAATTTACTCTTAGGGATTGCAACAGTCTGCCAGGCGTCATGGGAACATGTAAAGAGACCTTTAACTTATTTTACTTCGAATCCAATAATGACAGTGAACAAAATGTTCCAGAGAACAAGTACATAAAGATTGATACCATTGCAGCTGACGAGAGTTTTACACAAGTGGACATTGGTGACCGGGTGATGAAACTGAATACTGAAGTCCGTGATGTGGGGCCTCTGAGTAAGAAAGGCTTCTACCTGGCATTTCAAGATGTCGGTGCCTGCATTGCCTTAGTATCTGTCCGGGTCTTCTATAAGAAGTGTCCACTGACAGTACACAACCTGGCACAGTTTCCTGACACCATCACAGGCGCTGACACCTCATCCCTTGTGGAAGTGCGTGGTTCCTGTGTGAATAACTCCGAGGAGAAAGATATGCCAAAAATGTATTGTGGCGCAGATGGCGAATGGCTGGTGCCCATTGGCACATGCCTGTGTAACACTGGGTATGAAGAAAGGAATGGAGCATGCCAAGGTAGGATACAATACTGTATATCTGGACAGATATCATTTAGGCTATAAGTGTGTAAATAATTTAATCAGAGTGATGGGACAAAATGTTGTAAACAAGAGTAATTAGATGACCCAGTGGGATAACATGATACATCAGTTCCAAGGGGTGGTGCATTGACCCACATAATGTAATTGAATAAGCAAAACTGTAGGAAGCCACTGAATTTGCTTATAAATAGTTTTAAGCAGGATCATATTCTCATCATCATCGATATTGGTTATATAAAAAAAATCTAATAGAATTATTTTTGAAAATCTCGATTCTTAAAATCATTTGCTGGAGGTTATTAAATTTGTTTATCTTGAAACATGCTTGGTTTGGTATATTCCTATACAATATGTCAATTCACTCTTGGCTTCAGTGCCAATCTCAATGCCAAGTAATACTGCTACGAGACCAGAGAGTCTTCTTGTGAGTCAATTTCATGTGGTTTTTATCGTTCATGTGGTGACGTTTCATTGACTTCTGGCCCCACTCTTCTACACTGGCACATCTGATGGCATTTGAGTAACCGTAATTTTGTGAAGATGACACTTAAACCGAAGCAGTTTCTGCAAGAAGGGGAGAATTGCAGACTTTTATCAGTGATAAATGCTCATACTCCAGAATTTAACTTCTGTCAAATTGATCAATTTCAATGTTCCCATTGAGTTTTAATTTTAATAGATGCCTCGAAAGGGAAATGTGAAACAGAAGTAATTTTCTATTAGAAGCAATATGGTTTCCATTTATTAGGTAATTTGGGGCTGTAAATTTGAAAAATGTTGAATAAAATTTACCCCCAAAAAATCTGGTTTCCACAAAATAAAAATTACACAGGATATGACCTGAAAATCAATTATAAATTGCATAAAACACAATTTTGACCAAGAATAATATTCATATTCCTTGGAGATGTTATTTTAAGATCTGCTGATGGTTCTTGCTCATTAGCACTTTAGGAAAAAAAAAGTTGTCAAACTGATCAAAAAACATGAATTCCCAACCAGTAACATACGCCCAATTAATATCAATCTGCTAATTTAAAAAGGCTTGCATATGAATACCTTGGAGTTACAAAGAAGATTTTTTTTAGTACCTCGTTGTTAAAGCCAGTGCTTGCTAATCCCTTTGTGTGTTTTGAATTTCAATATAATGCTACAATTGAAATGTGAGATGGCCATTGTGTACATTTACAGCCCATCTATGATCTGCTTGATTGTCCATACTGATGGCACTGAAGAGGTTCCCAGGATATAGTGTAGGATTTTTTTATAACATGCTGATCGTGACAAACAGCAGAATAATACTGTTTTTTTTCCCCCCCTTTTCCTTTTGCTAAATTTGTTGCTGCTACTTGCAATGGATGTTCAGAAGTGATCATTTGATAGGTTGCACTAGTTAGTGCAGAGTGTAGATGGAAGGACACCCTGTTGCAAATCCTAAGAATAGAGACTTGGTTGAGAAACTAAGTCCAAGAGGTCACCAGGTCATAATTCTTGGCACTTTCTTTCAAAAGCGTAGAACAAGAATGAATAGTTTGATTTAATGTTTTTGCCTCAGCATCTTAATTTATAGGATCGCATCACACTGTGTGCCGTTTGTTGAGAGAAATGAATTTCCATACAGAACTTTTACTACTAGTTATTGTATTGCAAGGTTTATATAATGTATCATGTTACCATTATCATTTAACATACCATAATTTTAAAAAATTTAACTTTTATAGAACTGAAGTCCTATTCATTATGTTCAATACAAGGGAACTAGTAATGTATCTTTCTGAAAGACTAAGGGTCATTTTCTTATCGTCTTTCTTATCCCGAAGTTAAAACAACATATCTTTTAAACCAAATGTATTATTGCTGTTGGGAAACATGAAAACAAAATCCTCCTTTTGCTGTGACAGAACTGACAAGACGTCACTGTCGGAGACCCTGGATTCCTCCCGTTTGATTCAAATGTGTCCTAGCCGTTGTGAATAGGAACGGCCTCTATTGTTTCTGCATGGGAGAACTGTGATGGGACAATTACCGAGCTGGGGCCAGGGGTCACTTACTTCCTCATCCATCTTCCTCCTGTCATTGGAGGTCAGAATTAGATTGATTAAGATCTCATGGTGTGACAAAGGCCTGGTGAGCAGCAGTCGTAGGTGCTTTTTGTTATTGCAGTCGCTACGCTGGTCATCTGCCGGGGCCTGGGACCACATGGGACAGAATTACATTTCCTCTTCCAGTTGTCCTCTTCAGCAGAATGTGTTAACAGTGAGAAGAATGGGAAGGTTGCGAGGGACATAGTTGAAGATTCAAAGTGACAGACTGCCATTGTCCGTGCCACCTGCAAGTTCACATGAAAAGGGGGCGAGGACATCCCGACAATTCTCCCCGCAAGAATATTTACTAGACTGGCAGATAGAGCAGAGTGCAATGATGTCATTTTGTTGCTGCTCATCACATCTTCAAAGAATATATTTATTAATTAGAAATTTACTAAACTCAAAAAACACCCGCCAAGAATATAACCCAGAAACTGCATTGCAAAGAGGTCACGTCGAGGTAGATAAAACTTTCTCTGTCAGACAAAATCGTGCAAAATGTCCTTAACAATTACAGGAAACTGAGAAACTCCAAAAACAATTCCCTCCAAGACACCACTTGGCCCATTTAGGTGATTTTGAATTCTCAGTAATCATTTTGGCCATGATGGAGATACTCTATGGATGCTAACAGACAACGACTGGAATATAATGGAGTGTGTGTGTATGTAATAGATATATTTATATATAAATATATGTATACTCCATTATACTCCAGTCATGTTCTGTTAGCATCCGTAGACTGTCTCCATCATGGCCAGTTTCAAATCTGTCATGTCGGGCAATGTCCAGGATAGCAGAACTGTTGTTGGGGCATGTTTACTTCTTATGTTGACATGTTAGAAAAAAACTGGGCAACAATCCACAAACTGCTGAATATGAGTCACTTTGAGCTGTAATAGAGTGGTAAGTAACTGAAAGTGGTCAGTCCGGCCAGATTTTCTGATTAGTATTTACTGGTACAAATCCAGTGCTTGTACAGATAAGCCATTAATGGATAATTATGGTAAGCCTGGAGTTTGTATATTCAGTGTAAACAGCTTTCAGAGCAGACTCATAAAAAAGACAAATGGAAGAAAAAACTCGTAAGTTTCTACACTTTTAAAGTACGTCATTTCATGAAAAGTGTCGGGCAAGCCTTATTTGTTTATATTTACACCAGTATGTTTGCTGATGATGCATAACTTTGTTGAAATGCTTGCATTAGTTTGGTGTGATGGAGAAAGATACTGGTTTAACTTTCTCCCTCTTAAACAACAAAACTCTTGTTAAAATTCCCTCTTAAATGGAAACTAAAGCTGTCACACCATTATAACTAACCACGTGTGTATCTACAAAATTCTGCATTTTCAAGCTCTGTCTTTGAAATATTTAAAGATGCTTTAAGAATAATTCATCACGGCTCTTCATTGTGGAGATTGAAAAGGAGATGACCACACAGATTATAATCTTTTTTTAAACCTGTGAATCAACGGAGCATTTGTTTATTAAATGGCTTTAGATTGCTTAAGAAATCGAGTGTGTTGACTTGCTGTTTTAAAATAAACATTGCTTCAAAAACGATGGAAGCTGAAACTGAACACAAGTACATGGGATTCACAAGAAAAAGGCTTGTGTTTTTACTGTCAATCACTCCTGGGTGTTAAAACAGTGTCATCATCAGAATGAAATTCCCATTCGTCTCTTCTAATGAATGAACATTGTCAAGTAGTCAGCCAGCTTTCTCTTTTGCATATATCAGCTTCCTCATTTGCAGAATCTGTATATAGCTCTATGCAAAATAATACGCCCATTTCCTTTTTCACAAAGAAGAGCAGCTTCCTTTGTAACTTGTTGCCAAAACTCTGTTCACACAGAAAATTGTATAATTTGGGTTCTATGCTACTCGAGGACTATTTATGTACAGAGTCATTGTTTCAGCAATGCCAGGATTTAAAATCAGGATGAGGGCAAATGGCGAAAACTCACCTGCTAGGGTACTTCACAGACAAACTGCTTTTCTCTGAGTCCACTCGTGTAAATTTGATTTCCAAACCCAGACTGTCATTCTCTATGTATGTTGTTGGAGATAAGACACTTCTAATGTGCCGCACACGTGCAAGTCGTAACATGTAAAAGTTGCAATTTTCATCTTGTTTCGAACCTTAAGCAAGTTATCTCTATTTAATTCCACGCTGTGTAAATCAAGGTGAAGTATTCTGGATCAGAATGCAGCAAACAAAGCCTATTCCCCATATAAATTGAGTCGTGGTTACATTTTGTTGCTGCATATTTGGCAGACAAAGACCAGTGTTATTGCTCACTTTAATGATGCAGATAATCCAATTTGTTTTATTGGTTCCAAATTAAATGCAATAACTAACAATTGTGCTGTACAAGGATTATAAAACATTCTTAAATTACTTTAATTTATAGGGCAGTGGCAGACCGAACACGTGAACTGTTCACAGTACAGGAAAAAAGTATAATAAACCTGATCGCAAAGCATGTTTGATTGCCAGCTTAATAACTATTAGTGTCCAGAATTGGGTTGGAGAGTGAATAAATGCGAGTATTTAGCAACAAAACCAATTGCCAATAGTGTTTTTTTGCCAGCATTTTACAGCTCCTTTTTCCATGGCTTGTTTCTGTGAAAAGGAGGAGCGTTATGGAGACTGCCCAATCGAGTGCAAAGTGTTGTTCTAACAGTCTGATCCCCTGCCGTTTGCCATTTGACTATGTTCTGACATGGCTCCAGATCGTCTCTTTGTTTCCTTTTGCTACAGGGTCAGAGGCTACCAGAAAACTTATTTCACCACTCTCTCTTGTTATTTTTGGCGATGGATAAATACGTCTGGATTCAATACTTTTTCAAGTTTGAATTGAGCTTGGATTCAAACATATAAAA